AACTTTGTAGACACTGTGCACTAAGTCTTTTCCTTCTTTACAATTTCATGCATAGAGCTTTAGTTCTTATCATACAACTTCACAACCTTAGCATATGATTTTTTTTCTTTCTTTGTTGAGAACTTTTACCTTTCGACTTAAGCACTTTAGAGCTTTTCTTTGTCATATCCAAATTGCCAGAATCACTGCTTTTGTGTCTTGGGGCCATTATTAGGTAAAATGAGACTTACCACATTGTTGAGGATACTGCAACAGGCTGATAACCAGGATGGTTACTAGGTGGATAAGGGACCGGGAGCGTAGCCAACATGGATGTGCTGGACAAAGGGATGGTTTGCATCCTGGGCAGGATGGCGCAGGATGGCGCCAGCTTTATGATGCTGCTCAGAGTGGTTCACAACTTAAAACTTACGGATTGATTATTTCTGGAATTTTTCATTTAATATTTTCAGACTGAGGTTGACCGCAGGTAACTACAACTACACAAAGTCAAATCTTAGATAAGTGGAGAGGGACTATTGTATTTCTCCAGTTTTTTCCACATTTAGAATGGAATCGTCAGCTTTAACAGTTATAGTAATTATTAAAGTTCCTATAAATTAAGTTCTTTTGCTTGGAAATTATTGTGGCCACAGAAATAGAGAGGTTTGTAGTTAACTAATCTCAGGTGGAGTTTATGTTAATATAGAATTTTGTTCTAATGTCCAGGAATGTGAACTAATTCTTTTTTTTACTTTCCACCCTAAAATTATATTTCACTTGACATAGTGGCCTCTGGGTTCATCCATGTTGTCACCTATGATCTCATATGTGAAATCTAAAAAATGTTGAACTCAGAACTAGAGAGGAGAGTGGTGACTGGGATGTGGGTTGATGGGGAATTGGAAGTGTCTGTGGGTACAAAGTTGCAATTATTCATAAATAGGAATGTTCTGTTATGTTGCACAGCAAAGTGACTATAATTACAGTAATAATAATGTCTATTTCAAAGTAGCAAAAAGATTTTTTTTTATTGTTGGGGATTCATTGAGGGTACAAGAAACCAGGTTACACTGATTGCATTTCTTAGTAAAGTCCCTCTTATAGTCACGTCTTGCCCCTGAAAGGTGTGGCACAGACCAAGACCCCACCGCCCTCCCTCCTTCTCTTTCTCTGTTCTTCCTTTCCCCCACTCCTCCCTCCTTCTTTCTCTCTGCTCTCCCCTTCCCCCACCCCCACCATGTCATTAATTGTCCTCATATCAAAATTGAGTGCATAGGATTCATGCTTCTCCATTCTTGTGATGCTTTACTAAGAATAATGTGTTCCACTTCCATCCAGGTGAATACAAAGGCTGTAAAGCCTCCGTTTTATTTTTTTTAACGCTGAATAATATTCCATGGTATACATGTACCACAGCTTGTTAATCCATTCCTGGTTGGTGGACATTTAGGCTGTTTCCACATTTTGGTGATTGTAAATTGAGGTGCGATACACAGTCTAGTGCAAGTGTCCTTATGCTAAAAGAGATTTTAAATGTCCTCACCACAAAGAAATGATAAATATTTGAAGTGATGGATATGCTTATTATTCTGATTTCTTCATACCACAATATGTACATGTATTAAAATATTGCTTTTACCCCATAAATATGTGTATCCAATTATTATTTATCTATTAAAAAGAAAATAAAACTAAGAAAACTTTATAAGGGACATTTTTGATGCACTATAAAGGTTGATTCTGGTTTTGCCATCTAACACTTCTAATTTAGTGTGCCCAGTTTTCTCTTTTTGGGAGGCATATAGAAATTACTTTAAGCTGTAGCAGCAGAGTATCATTTTTGAATATATATACTTGAGATATTTGTATGCCCCTCCTAATCTCTAATAATATTCGTGTAATATTGTTTATCCAAATTAGGGAACCTTACTTTGGTAATGGTAATTATAATTTGATTAGTTGAATCTTTAGGTACGACATGCATAGTCTCTAATAAAAGAGCATATTCAAATTTACCAGTAAAGAATAAACTTAGGGCTCGGTGCCTGTGGCTCAAGCGGCCAAGGTGCCAGCCACATACACCTAAGGTGGTGGGTTCGAATCCCCAGCCCAGGCCCGCCAAACAACAATGATGGCTGCAACCAAAAAATGGCCAGGCGTTGTGGTGGGCGCCTGTAGTCCCAGCTACTTGAGAGGCTGAGGCAGGAGACTCGCTTGAGCCCAGGAGTTGGAGGTTGCTGTGAGCGTGATGCCATGGCACTCTACCCAGGGGGATAGCTTGAGGCTCCGTCTCAAAAAAAAAAAAAAAAAAAAAAAAAGAATAAACTTAGGTAGGTGCCTGTGGCTCAAAGGAGTAGGGCGCTGGCCCCATATGCCAGAGGTGGTGGGTTCAAACCTAGCCCCAGCCAAAAAGTGGAAAAAAAGAATAAACTTAAGTGTTGCTTGTCTGCTTTAGAATCTTAACTATTGTATTGGTTACATAGAAATAAGGGTAGCTTAAATTCTCCTTGGTATATCTCAGACATCACATGGAGTGATTTTGATCAACTATGTCAGAGTTCTAATTTTATCAAGTGTACCAAGTTAGTTGTGTGGAAATATTAATACAAAACTTATTTTAATATGAAAGATATTTTAAGATATATTGTAAGAGACTAGTTGTTTAAAACAAAGGCAACTGTAAAATTTAGAAATCTCTTTTGTTATTATATGACTTCCTGTTACTAAAATTTGTGGATTCTGACTTCAAGTCATTTATAGTTGAGTCAATGTGTAAAAGTGCCTTTTTCTTTCACATTTTTATGTTTGTTAAAATTATTCTGTATTTGTATTAGTTGAAGTTTTACTATATTATAGAAAATAGCTCAGAAGTATTTGTTGCCAGGTTATTCAGACCAGACCATGTCAGTTAATAATGAAAGTCAGTCCATCCAGAAAAGGTTGTTCTTATTCAGCCGCTCTGCCGATGTAGGCAGTTAGGCTGCTATGGCACGTTCTGAAATACGTCAGATGGAACCAAGATGCAAGAAATAGGATGTTTTGGATCTTTGCTTGGGAGATTTTGGCATTATTAGCATTTTTCTCATACATAAGCATATCATTTATGATATATGTCTTAGTTGTTTTTTTAATATGCCTTAGTTTTAGTTCATATTGCATAATATTGGAGAATTTTACAAAATAAAACCTTTGTAAAATGTTAATTGAAATAATTATTTGTGAAATTCTAGGAGAAAAATTTCCATGTGAAATCATTATCATCTACATTTAATAAAATGTGCTTTGAGTGGATACACATAGGCTTAATATTTCTTTGTGGTTTATCTAAATAACCAGTGATTAAATACATTAGTGGTTAAACTTTCAAAAATAATTAAAAAACTGGATTTTATAAATTCATTAGAGACACTGTATTTTAATAAATGGGGGATCTGTTTTATGTGTTTAGTACACAAAGTGCAAAGATTCATCTGCCTCCTTATCATTTTAGGGGATTCCATTTTAATGGCAGGGAGATAATTGTTGTTGACCCTGCTGTGAGAACAGTGGATGCCCATGCAAGGACGCGTTATCTTTGTATCAGTGGTCAAAGCATGGCTTCCCCAGAGATAATCCTGGTATGGGTCAAGCCCACACGTGTGGACACTCTAGCATCCTGTCACCTGGTTACTTCCAGCAACTGGTCACTTTCTACGTGGTGCTTTTTCTTTAACTACAGATTCCTAAAGAAGTTATTTCCCTAAGTTGTCAATACATATTGCATGCCAGGTGAGTTGGAGGTTTTGGGAAGAAAGAGTTTAAAGTGGGGAGCCTGTCTACTAAGTTATTTATATTTTAGAAAATAAAACATACTAATGAAAAGTTTAAAGTTATCTTAGATTAAGTGATATGCGCTGCTGTTAATGTTTATTGACTTTGATTAATTAGACTGACTAAAATTTTCATATCCTAATCAGGTTTTTCTTTTTTTTTTTTTTTGCATTAACTGTCAAATTACAAGCTTATTTGTGAAGGGGTTGTGCTAATTAATTGTTTTACTCCATTGCTGCATTTAATCTCCACAATAACCCAATAAAATAAGCCTTGTTACAGAGACAATAGACAGAGTCTGACAGAAGTTAAAACCCATAGACGTCCAGCCATGAGTGGCTGGCCTGGTTGGAGCTTCAGCTGAGTCTTCCTCTCCGTCAGATACTGGGCTGGACTTTCCCCCACATTGCTAGTCCTCTCTTGCTTCATGCAGTCAGTGTTTACTGTTTTACTCTGAGATTAGTTATCCTTTTATTTTAACCAGATCAGAAATTCTTTAATTGTAAGATTTCTCTTAGATATTTAATGATTACCTAGAAGAAAAGGTTACTATCAGTTTTTAAAGGCTCATCATTTGATTTTGACCTGATTAAATTAAAAATATGAAAATATTTGGAGAGCTCAGACTATCAAAAGGCTAAAAAGAAAAATGACTGCCTAGTTAGTTTTAGTTGCAGAGTAATAATTTTTCCACCCCAGTGAGTAATGTTAACTTTTAGCAGTTCTTTTCTTATAAGCTTAAAATAGTACAATAAAACATACTTTCTCTCTTTTCATTTTTAGCTATGTATATAGTTTTTAAAGATAGACATTAGTCACTATATGTATGTGGTAAATTGTAGGGTTTTTTTTTTTTTTAAATTGAGGGCATTAAAAAAAACAAATGGAGGTAAATAAAGAATATAATGGTTGTATTTTTTAATGCCCACCTCCTTCCAAAAGGATTTCAGCTGACTGGTTAATGAATGACGCCTACCTTGTTCATTTTCTGAGCTTTTAAAGTACCCTATTTCTGCATTAAAAAAAAATTGTAAAAAATGTGATTGGTTTGGGCTGAAAAATCAGACATTGAGTCTTTTGTTTGACTACCAATGTGAATTTTACATTGGTCCTTTCCAAGTTAGATACTCTTTATCAACTGTTTTGTATAATTAGAAATTGTGTACCATACACACCCAAACTGATCTGTCATTATTTTTACTTTATAGGACCCATCAAGACCAGTTTCAGGCAGATATAAGAGGTAAGAATCTTCACATTATGACTTACAACGTATGGTAGACATGAGTGTAGTATCTGTCTGAATATGACTTAACTAGAACTGTTTAAAGCGGCTCTTTGAAAAGAAAGAAACCTTAATATTGTGCTTTTAGAAAGAAATTACTTGTAGGCAGAAGTGTAATGTCTGTCTGATCAAGGTTTATTCTCACATATCCGGCAGTCTTTGAAAAAATGCCCATACCATGAATTTGCATGGATCTGTTAAACTTTGTGAAAGAAGAACTTAAAGTTGCCTTTTCCCATGTATTATCTGTATTTAAACATTGAAAATACAGATAGACTCCCTATATTAGGCAGCTCTGGTTGCTATTACAAAATATCACACATGGACTGGTTGGCTTAAACAACAGAATTTATTTTCTCTCAATTCTGGAGGCTGCAAATCCAAGATCATCATGGTGCCGCCGTGGTCAGATGCTGGTGAGGACTCTCTTCTGGCTTCCAGAGGGCCACTTTTTTGTTCTGTCCTCACATGCCAGACAGGGGTTTGGGGAGAGAAAGAAAGAGATACAGAGGAAGGGAGAGGGTGGCCAGGCTTTCTGATGTTCATTTCTATAAGGGTTCTAATCTACAAACATGAGGGCCCTACTCTCTTGACCTCATCTAAACCTGATTATCTCCTCAAAGCCCAACTCCAAATACTGTTGTCACATTGAGGGTTAGTGCTCCAGCATAGAAATTTTGGGTGAGACACATTCAGTCCAAGGGACTACCTCTCTTCAGTGAGAAACACTTCTACCAAAGAAGGTGGCTGTGTGTGTATGTGTATTACTGAAAGAAAATCATAATTCGATATGAGAAAGTTTTCAGTGGAGCTGTCTGGGATATTAGCTTCCCTTCCTTCTTGCCTGTCGAGGCTGTGAAGTTTGCAGAACCACCTCGTCATAGTTGTGCTCAATAATCATAGAATGATACACGTTACTGAGTGCTTTTAAGTCTAAGATGCTTTCCATAGAGGTCTCATTCAATTAAGTAACAATATTTACTTCCATTTTACAGGTGAGGGAAGTGGTGTTAAAGAAGTAAAGAATAATTTCCCTGGGGTTACAAACCTAGTCCACAGCAGAAGTAAATTTGAACTCAGGCGCCTGACTTGAGAACATGCTTATTAACTATATAAGCCCATCTGCCTGGATTTATACATATAAATCCTTTTTCTAAAAATCTGTTTATATGTTAAAGTATAGAATACTTCAGTTATTATATTACACCTAAATTTTTTATTAATAGGAACACTAATTTTTTTTTTTTTTCTTTTTTGGATAGAGACAGAGCCTAACTTCATGGCCCTCGGTAGAGTGCTGTGGCATCACACAGCTCACAGCAACCTCCAACTCCTGGGCTTAGGCGATTCTCTTTCCTCAGCCTCCCGAGTAGCTGGGAGTACAGGCGCCCGCCACAATGCCCGGCTATTTTTTTGTTGCAGTTTGGCTGGGCCGGGTTTGAACCCGCCCCCCTCAGTATATGGTTGGGGCCAGCGCCCTACCCACTGAGCCACAGGTGCTGCCCAACAGCAGCACCAACATTAATACTAAGTTATATATAAATAAGATTTATGTTTTTATTATGGGCCTTCATATCATTAGCAATAAAAAGAGATAAGGAAGTGACAGTAATCACCAAATGTAAATGGTAGATCAGAAACCATTTCTGGCACACAAAATGTGCTTGCTACTGCTTTTATTTTCATTTTTTAGTCATTTTGATAGAGGTATAATGAAACCTGTTCTTTTAAGCTTCTAACATTTGTATGTTGCTTGGTAATTTTTCTTTACCATGAGTAGTTTAAACTGAAATAATCCTTTTTCTTCTGCCAGAAATCATTGTGAAACAGTCTTGATTTGGCTGGTTTCCAGACCACATTCTCACACCAGAAAAATTTTATCATCAGGTTTTGGTTTGGGGAATAAAGATAAACTATGATAACTTAATTTGTTATATCAATCTTAGATATTTAGTTCTTGTTAGATAATAGAGCCTAAAATTATCCATGGCACTTTTCAGATTTGCGTTCTTTAATTAGAATCAATAGGGGAATAATTTTCTTATAAATCCTCATTAGAAGCTTTATTTGTCATTGTGTTAAGTCAGGAAGAAAATTGTTTCTTATATGTATAAATTTTCATATTTAAGCTTTTAAGACCATTTTAGTTTCAACATGTTCGTGTATTTGTGTTTTTTTGTTTCCTAGAACATGTGGTTTGTTACTTTTTAGCTTTCAAAGGTTTAGCCCTGCTTAATAATGTCGTAAATATTTTAAAATTTCAAGTCATTTTTTTACTGATTCACAGCAACTGTTTTAATGTCATCAAAAAAGAAAAAAAGAGAACAGTAACAAAAATAAAAACATAAAACCTAGACTCTATATCTGAAACTATCTATTTCATATTTTATATCAGCCGTTCATTATATTCATAAATCTGTCAGCAAGTTGTAGCAGTGACTAGAGACTAGATATTTCTTGGTGAGGGTGTCTGCTGAGTAATGGAGATTTAGAAAAAAGGAGAAATGAGCTAAAAGAAATTTGGCATCATATCATAGAAAATATTTTCTAATAACTTAGGATAAATACTGGTATGCAGATAGAACTAACTTTTAAGAAGTCATTAGCAAGTTCAGGCACACAGAAGAGTAGTTTGTAAGTAAACTGCTCTCATAAATTATGAGTTAAATATTTAATTTTACAATATACTTTTCCAGCACTGCCTAATAAACACTTAATCTAATGATGCTATATTTTAAAAAATGAATTGACTCTTGTTTAGAACATGTATATTCACTGTTTTCCTTTTTTTTTTTTTTTT